GGGGGGGGGGGGGGGGGGACTCTGTGTATCAAGTAAGAAACTGAATTTTCCAATTATAAATACCAAAAGTGGTCAGAATGATGTAATTGCTTTGTGGTTATATTTCTTGTCTTGTGAGCTGGGGTAGCTTTTCTATATAGTGACTGGCTACGTATTGGACGACCGAGGTTTGATCCCCGACAGGGGCAGAGGATTTTTCTTTTAGCCTCTGCATCCAGACCAACTCTGAGGCCCACCAAGACTCCTGTCTAGCGAGTACCAGAGGTCCTTTTCCTGGGGGTAATGTACGGCCGGGGCATGACACTGACTATTCACCCTGATCTAGTGCTGAGGTTAAGTAAGAATGAGTAGGAGCTGTACCTTCTCTCCCCCTGTGCACATACATGGTGTATATTGGGACAGATTTTATATTTTGTCTTACACATTAGAATTGGTTATATGAAAAAATAATTTGGGTCCTAGAAGGTTAACTGTTTTTTAGTTCAGAATTAGAATATTTAAGTTTAACATTTATAATATAGCAACAGAAGATTTAAACCTCCTGACCAGACTTTAACTCCAGAGTTAATGGCATTGGTATACTATTGCAGTGCACAGCCAGGTGGAGTGTGTGTAGTAAGCCATTCTTGACGATGTCTTGCAGTCTTTCAGGTGTATATAAAGATTTTATCATTATTAGAAATTAAGGCTATATAAATATTTAAAAATATATCTAGATTTGTTAACAAAGGTGAGTTTTATGTAAATTGCTATCAAAGCAAACAGTATATTATGAATTTACAAAATGCTTTATTTAATTTTGTTTAGGACAAACAGCAAGAACAGAACAATTACAGAAGAAATTTTCCTTATATTATTATTCTTCCTCTAACAGAACTGTGAAGTCAATTGTGTGCTGTGAATTAGCTGATCCTTTTCCTGAATCTCTATAATCCATCTACTTCTGAACAGTTCTTACTTTAAAACAGATGATGGAGGCAGTGTGTTCCTTCAAAACGTTGGTATACACTATACACTGTATGGCACAACAACCAGACAACCACTATTTATAAAGCAGGGCACTCAACTTCTATATAATATGTACAGAACCAGATGGACCAGTCAAGATATTTGATGTTAAAAGCTAATGGCCTACAAAATTTTCTGAATGGATGGCCAGAAATATTACAAGGTATAGAAATGAAGCACCTCCTCTTCTACAGAAGGCTGATTTAGAGTATGTGCATATTAAGTGATGCAAAAGCAGGTCAAAGTTAGTTAGCCTGGTATGTGTTTGTAATAATGTCTTCTGTGCTAACAAAATAATTATTGTGTGTCTTATTTGGCCTACACATTGTTAGGTGTATTTTATCTGTTACATTCTGTATTTTGAAAACAGACATTGTGTGGAGGTTCAGACACAGATTAATTAATATGAAAAATAATCAGTAGCTGAAATTAAACCAGTCGGTCAATCTAATTTATAATGACAGTTCTAAGAAACATAGGACTGCACAGAGCTGTTGTGTCAGTAGTGTTGACAAACAACCAGTTTTAGAATTTATTCTTTGTTGTGTAAATAAAGGATGTAAAGAAATGAGTATTAACTAGCAAATAACATCACTGTTCATGTGGCAAATATCATTATAACACTAATTTTTCAATCATAGCATCTTCATTGGCCATCACATCAACATTTTGACTTGGACCAGTGGCCGGGTCGTTCAGCTCACCCTGCAGGCCGACCTCGAGTCAATTCAGCCATCTACATTAGTTCAGCTGTAGGAGCAGGAGGACATGACTCAGAATTCAGTCGCCTTCAACCACTCCGTTCAGAATTGTGGCGGAGAGCTCGAAGTGCCGAGAACATCCCTTTAAGTGGTATGGAGCCACTGCAACATTCATTTCCTGTTGCTGGCTGTAATAGAGTGACCCCAGCAGTGCTTCCAGTCTTGTCTGTCTCTGGCCCCTCTCCTCCAGAACAGCAGCTGGATGAGCATTTCTGAATACATCTAAAGCTCCTGTAAGGTCATTCAAGTTAGGAACAAAAACACATTGTTTTTCGTATGTTGTCAGTTCTTACTTGTTTTTGCAGTGTGTGGTATATCTCTGATTTCTGTTATTGAATCTCATGTGATCTCAGATACCAAATGTTCCAAGCATATACTTACTTAATTAACCTTTACAGAGCTAGATCAAAGGACCTAATATGTAAGTAGAGTCATGAACTTCTTTTAATTTTGAATTACAAAGATAAAGTGATTATGATAGATAATTTTCAGGTATAAAACATTTAAATTTCATACTGGTATAGTTTTCTGCTCTTACGACCAGAGGGCTGTTGTAAATATTAACATATGCCAGATGTGTAAGGACATTTTAATCAATGCTGGTGTATTATGAAATTCTGTTATACTTTTTATCTGATTTGTTTTGACATTGCAAGAGTATATGTTATGACAGTTTAAGTTGACTTAAGTTTTTACAGTTACTGAATTCATTTAAATCCTTGTGGGCAATCAATTACTTTATTGCAGAGTAAAGCCTTATGGTCATGTCACATCTGTCCTTAATGATGGAGGCTGAGATAGTCTCCAAAATGTTTGCTTTTACACCACAGTAACATGGATGACCGAGAGAATTGCATTGGATATGAGAGTTGTTGAAAAGAGGTATGAAGATATTACTTTCTTAATCTTAATATATGTATACTGGTACTATTAGCCAGTTTCCATGTCTTAATGCAGATAAGGCTGTAATTTGAATGGTATTGACTCTGGATATTGGCCAAATCTCTATCTTGCCAAACTAAGGAGTACATACATGATAATATTACTATGGTGTAAAAAAAGAGGTAAAATAGTTTTGGCAGCATATCACAAATCAGACATATTTAATATTAATGATACTAGAACAGATGAATCCACAATTTGAACTTTTGCAGCCATTTCACAAAAATGGTTTATTGTAGTATATATAATTAATATAAATGTTTTTCAATGTGGACTCCTGTAAATTTTTAGAACACTGAGAAACCTATTAAAAGCTATTGAAATCTAATTTTTTTAAGGCTTTTAAGAAAATCAGTGTCCACATTTGATGATATGCTTTTTAGTCATTCATCTTCCTGGATTACAGGTAATGACTGTAGGTAAGATTGAAGTACAACCAAATTTTTGCATATAATAAATTATATTTATCTGCAACTAAGGAAATGATCAATATTTATTTTGTTTTGGAAATATGGAAATGTTCCTTGAATGTTTCCAGGTATCAGAAAATGAAAATCACAATATGTCTAATAATACTCCATTTGCTTGTATAAAAGAAAATTGGATAAAAATGGATTTGAGAAATTTTAGAAGAGTACAGCTGTCTAGTTTCCTTTCAAATACATTGAACATTTTTACTTTTCTGACAAACCCAAACATGAAAAATGGGCTAATTATTAGTCCAAGCTTTTTTCAGCTGTGTTAATTAGACAGTTTATTTTGTAAACATTATTTTTGTTGATTCTTATACTGTAATAACATATACAATCTCAATGTCATCCCTGCTTCTGAGGTCACATTAGGAATAATATTACTTGCTCCCTTATGTTTTGAATGGTTCCTGAACAGAGCAAGTCCTTTGGGGTATGACTCTAGGTAGGACCCATAGGAAGTTCCCGATTCATATACAAACAAGTAGAGACCCCAGCAAGACAAGAGTTTTTCTTCCTTATGATACTCTAGCAGTGCAAAGAGTGGTGTGCACAAGATAGCAATACAAATGGTTGCAAATTTTTTCACCCCTCAGGAAGTATTCTGTACATGAGTACACACTTAAATGTGGTAGAATCTAGACAGTTTGTTCTTGTACATTTATCATTTGGATCCACTCCCATTTCATACATAATATGTACATTTTTTCAGCAAGTTTTCCTGTAAATGATTTCAAGCTTTTGCATTAATTCATTATTTATGTTGATCATGCTTTTGGGTTGTGGCACTATGTAGAAGTTGGCATGTTGTTGACATTACTGATGATCATACTGAAAGCAGAATCAGCATCAAGTTTTCCCATTAAAAATGCTTTGTATTCTTTGTACTAAAGATTCAATTTTTCTAGAAACTAGAAGCTTGAAGGATGAAGTATCAAAACTTGTCTTTTCATTAATTGTCAGTACTCATCTAATGTTGCTGTACATCCAATGTTCTTCCTTAAAATTGTTAGTATTGTGAGTTACAATAACTTATGATGGACAGTGAACATTATTTTGCTACAACTTGTTTTATGTTTTTTCACTTTCACTTATGAAGCTATCTATCCATAACATAAACAAATTACTGTTATTTATTCTCATCACTGTTTCCTTAGTTACTTTCATGTGTTTCAACTCTTAGTTCATAGATTATTATCCACTTCTAACAGTTTTAATTTTCTCTGTGATCCACTGACAAACACATCTGTTATGTATAAATATTTTCTCCAGTTTGCCCAGACAATTTAATATTTCTCAGCATTATATATATTGTGAGTCATCTGTTGTATCAGTGGGAACTGAATGGTAGATTCTGAAAGACAGTGAGTTATATTAAAAAAGACTTTCATAATGGGCATTTTAAAGAATGAGAATGAATAAAAATAAGGCCAGTATTTACACAGACATATTTATTTATTGTAATATTCAATTTGTTATGTATTTTTCCACACTTTCTTGCCTATAAGAACTGGATGTAACCCTTCAGTGTAAATATGCATATATTTCCCCACAGGTTGCCTTGTTTTCTACTCTGAACTATTTCCATGTATATTCTTCCTTCACCTGTTAAAACAGTTTTAATAGTTATACTGTTGTTAAATAGAAACTGTTTGAATAACAGAGTGATAACGACAAAAAAAAAAAAAAAGATTTCTGAAATGCAGTAATGTGAAGTGATTCTTGGAAAACAAAAGTGAACTTCAGGAATGTGTGTACAACTGTATGTCTGATCGACCATCCTAAGAACAATATCTGCATCATCAGTGAATTGGACAAATGATTAATATGGTTAAAAAGAACTTATTTAATGTGTCTGTAAAAGTTGATACAATGTAAGTGACAAAAGAATACAAAATGTGTATAATGTATGTTACTGTACTTCTAGCATGATATCTTCTACCAACAAGGATTAAGATATGTGATTTTTATCTTTCCATTCTCTTGGTTACTCTCATGGTTAAATTATGTCTCATCTAACAAACAAACCAACCATCCAACTAACTACACAGTTAACTAGTTAATTAGGTTACTACTAACTCCATGGAACAGAATGCTTCAGAAACTGATAGTTCTTCAGCTAATAGAGAAATTACTGCCTTTAATGGAACTTTAGTGGTTCACTACCATGTTCACAGAAGACCAAAACATATTTCAACAGGATTGTACAATTATTCATCACATTTGTTCTCCTCATTCTCAATTTTTTTATCTGAAATTGGAAGAATAAAATATGTTGGTATTGTCAACAGTGACAATAATGATTTGACAGTACAATTTTTGTAACAAACAGTGAAATTGTACCAAGTGGTAAATGTTTAATTTAATATTAATATGCACCTATGTAAAAATGCACATTACAACTAATATTGACATACACTGCAACGACAGTACCACCAACTGAGAGAGAAATAAGTAGCAACTTAAAAGACTCTGAGAATCATAAGTAAGATGTAAAGAATAATTAAAATTACAGCTGTACTGTCTTTGGAACATGTTCCCAAGTCATGTTAAAAAGACTAAAGCAGGTAGAATTAAAGACATATGTCATATTTTATGAGCAATAGGTGAAAGAATGTACAATAATGGTTTGGGTTACAATTCTCACAGCCATGAAAAGTGCAAATCCCACAAGATAAGTAACCTAATCCAAAGTGGTTGGGGTAGTAAAAATGAGGACATATACTACCAATGCATATGAAAATAATGTACATAATGCACATGGCTTCACTTTATAGAAAACACTTTCTTCTGGGATGTTGTGCCCCATAGTCTGGATACAGTTTACTGATGTTTCAGAGGTGTTTACTACCTCACCTTTGGTGAGTGCCCTCTTGATGGAGGCAGTAAGAAGTTCTGTTGCACCAGTAAACGTACACCAGACTACACGTCGCAACATACCAAAAGAAAGTCATCTTAATACCCGCCGCCTTGAGAATCTCAAATCTCACTAATTTTTGCCCATATGCATTTATTTTCATGCATCTGATGTACATGGCAGTGGAAGCCAATACGTTTACGTGTATCTTTATATAATGGAGAAATGCGCACGAATGTGCAAATGTTAATAGGAATCAGCCTTTGCTGTATTCCGTCACTGTTTTTTCTAGTTTATCACATTCTATTATATGGTATTTTACACACTTTCCCACATAATTTGCACAGACAAAATTGATCTGGTTCGTGGTGATATGTCTTTTTGCAGAGTCTGTACTCCTCCCCCAATATTGTCAGGGTGATTAAGTCGAGAATAATTAGATGGGCAGGGCATGTAGAGCGCATGGATGGGACAAGAGGTGTGCACTGGGTATTGGCTGGGAAGCCTGAGGGGAAAAGACCGCTGGGGAGACCTAGACGTAGATGGGAGGATAATGTCAGGCGGGATCTATGGGAGATAGGAGTTGAAGGAGACTGGATTTTGTTGGCCCAGGACAGGGTCCGGTGTAGGGCTTTGGTTAATTCGGTGATGAACCTTCGGGTTCGGTAAGCCATCTGGTTAGTTAGTTAGTTGTGGTGGTAGCCGTGCACAGCTAGTCTTATGATTGTATGACGTACTTCCTGGTTCGGTCCTATCCAGTCTCTGTTGATCAATACGTGTATCTTTGACTGTCTGTTATCATACCTCTAAAACCCGTTTGCTTATCATGGTATTCTGAAACCAAGGAATCAAGAGCTTTATATAAAAAATATATAAATTTAGAGTATTCAGCATTACATCAGCATTTTACATCAAAGGATCATGGATCATCATAGCAGATATTCAATAAACTTTATTATTATGTTACGTACTTCCGGCTTGAAGTAACGGAAACCTTGTTGATAACACTTTCGGAAGCCATTGTTGGTGTGGTGGATAGTGTGTAAATTGTGCAATCACTAGTACATACGTTTTTTCAGTTTGTGTTTAGCAGACAGAATGAATAAGAAGTTTGATTCTAGTACTCCGTTAAGTTCAAAGTCAGGTTTGAACAATAGTAAAAGTTTGTATCATGATTTTGTTCGTCCTAGGAGTCAGTTTGGAGCCAGATTTGGAAGTTCTCCATTTATAGGCACGCCACAGCCAGACAACTTTGATTTTATTCCTCTTAGTTACAGTAGTCCTGTACATTATACAGGAGGAACTAGTGGCAATTGGAATGGACGTAATCTAAAAAGCTTCGATGGCAGTCCTGCCATTTCAAGTTTTAACTCGAGGTTTGGTCCGTACAATACGAACAGAAAATATTTAGACAGTAATTCAAGCTTCAGTCCATATAGTAATATGGACATATCTAGGAAATATTGTCCGAATAGAAAGAGAAAAGTAAGTATTTCGAAGAATATTATTGAATTATGAGCATGATGTACATACCAATGTCACCGTAATTATACTTCGGATTTCCAAAAATTCTAAGACGTGTTTTTCTTCTTCTAGGATAACAACTTATCAGGAAATGCAAGATATTGTGATAATATAAGTCTGTATTATCACCCTTCAATGCTGGAAGATCCATGGGCAGAGTTAGAACAGAAAATGCAAAACTGTACCGCTGGCCAAAATTCAAGTCTTGGCAGTAAAAATGGGTTTGAAGAAAATGTTTCAAATTTGAGAAGTGTGGATTCATTTATTTGTGATTCTGATGAGGGAGCAGACTCTCAGGAGACAGACAGTACTGTGTCCGTGAGTGATGGATCTTCATAGCAAAAGCTAGTAAAATGGCTCCTTTTTATTATATTTGTCAGTGTTCTTTTCCACATGTGCAGAAAATTGTTTATTTTGTAAACTTTTAACTAAACTTTGATGTCACCAATACCTCACATTGGCAAGTGATAAGTGTTGCCAAACTTGTAACTCATAGATTGCTACCAGCGTTTCAGAGGTCCTTGTTGCCTCCATCATCAGGGCAGTTCTACAACCCAGAAAACAGCCGTCTTCAGATTGATATCCTGTCGCTCTTGGCCAGAGCGTTGGGCCTTGACAAAGCAGCACCAAGGAGTTCTATTATGAGCCAGAACTTTCATCTCCCTCCAGGTCTTTCCATACTTTTTTGCCTCCTCTTCAGTGGTTTTCCTCCAGGTTGTTTTTGGCCTTCCCCTCTTCCTCCATCCTTGGGGATTCCAGGAGAGTGGGACCTCTCGAGCTTTCCAAATGGGGCACAGTTGGATAAAGGCTGCATTTGCTTTGCGGATTCTTGCCTTGACGTCTTCTCCCACTCACCACCATGGAAACCTCAAATCCTACTTATTACTCATAACTGAAAAAAGTGCAAATAACTAACTGACTAACTAGATGGCTTACTGAATTTACTGCTAGTCCCACCTGTCTACTAGCCTCTAGTAAAACTTGTCTGCTGCTGGCCCAAAAAATTTTTATTAATGACATCACAGGAGTAATTGTGGCATAGGTTTGTTTATGATTGGAGTTCTGTTTTTAGGCAACTACAATAATGTAATGTTTCATTGTAAAATATGTTTGGTTTCAGTAAATGTTTGTATATAATTTATGTATATCATATATTGTTTAACTTTTGAACCTCTTAAAATAGTATAATGTTAATAATTTTAGACTATCTTCCATCAGTTTATTCCAGTCATTACACAAACTTTGTATTTTTGACTTACCTTTAGGGTAAAAATATTTTATGCATGATTTTCCATGACCTTTAATAAAATGAAGTACATATAATTTTTTACTTTTGTATTTTTAAACATATACCCTCTTACATATATTGCCTTTGCATTTTTCATGGTTAAGTTGTTTTACTCAATAATGGCATACATTTTGGTGCAAGTAGCTATTCTTGTATACACTATTTCCCAGTAGCTGAAGGAAATTCCTTTAACCATTTAAAGCCTAGTAGTAATAGTATGTCCCACCTGCTTTACCAGTTTTCCCACATAGTGTAGAAATGAGTTTTGTATGAATCTACAAGTAAACAACTTTTATTTCCTTAGATTGCATCAACTTATTGATTTTTATGATTATTATGGGTAGTTTTTTCTCTGAGGTATGAACTGGATGTCTACATATTAAAATGAGTTTTAACATCAAAGAGTTCAATAGAAATCATCTTTATGTATTCTGTGTAATGAGCCGGGGTAGCTCAGTCAGTATAGTGGCTGGCTACTGACTGGATGACCAGGGTTCAATTCCTGATGGGGGCAAAGGATTTTTCCTCCAGCCTTTGCATCCAGGATGGCTGTGGGGCCTACCCAACCTCTATTCAATGGGTAACAGGGTCCTTTCCCAGGGGTAAAGCATAGCTAGGGCGTGATGCTAACCACTCACCCCCACCTAGTGCTGAGGTCAAGAATGAGTAGGAGCTATGCCTTTCCCCCCCCACCATGGACCTACGTGGCATATAGTGGGACAGCTTTGCTTTACTTTGTGTATTCTCTGAGCCTAGACATAATTTTGTTTAGGTTACAGTAAAGTGGTTAGTATAATACTAATGCTCCATATTCAGCATGTCCCAGATTTGAATATCGATCCAGAGGCCAGCTATCTTCCCAGAGGTGTGTGTGGGGGTAGCACCTTTTAGGTAATGTCCACTTCTGTGTGTTTCACAGTACATTATTTAAATTGTAACTATCTGATGATGGGCAACTAGTATAGTTGAAAAAATGTCATTGTTGTGGGTATGCATGTTTTGTTCCATAGCACACTAAAAAGGTTGAAGTGCTTGTAAATGAACAGTTGATAATTAAACATTTGTTCTAACCACAAGGTCAAATTATGAGATATATACATTTCCATAAGTTTATTATGGAATGTACGTATAATTCACTGTGACATGCAAAACCAGCCTGAAGAAATGGACACAATCTTTTATAGTTTAGTCACTTTCTAGACAGTGCAGCTGTGAAGTGTGTGGGTCAGCCCAGCATGACTGGAGTGCCCAACTCTGCAGCCTGAGTCTGCCTATGCACGAGCTCACATGCACACGCACAAACCTCAGGGAACAGTATAACAATTTAATAACTGCCAACATGGTGAAATTTACTAACATATTGCCACTAATTACAAAAGTGAATACTTAAAATTTGTCTTATTAGTCTTTTTACCACTCTTCTCTGCCACTCAGACAATGTTACAAAACTGAGAGGTTATTTTTATATTTTGGATGTCTCAATCCAGAGACAATTATCATGACTGAAGGTTTTTGTGGCTTCTCCTCACTCCCTCCAAGCAAATGCCAGTACATGCCTTAAGTTAGGCCTGGTAACTTCCATGTGAAAAACCTAAAGCTGTCCAACAGCATGCTGTATAGGTGTTTGTGGGGGAGAAGAGATATAGCTCCTGCTGCACTTTACCCCTGGCAAAGGATTCCAGTACCCATTGGAGAGGAGGCAGGTGGGCCCCAGAGGCTAGAGGAAAAATATTCTCCCCTTATCAGGGATTGAACCCGTCATTCAGTTCGTAGTCAGTCGCCATACTGACTAGGTGGCCCACATATTTCCAGTTTATTAATAATTCTGTAATTTGACTTTATATAGTCTGAGCTACTGAATTGTTGTACAGACCAGAAATAAATATATAAACCTGTCTTCCACCTGACTCTTCTCCCCCCCCCCCCCCCCCCCCTAAAGTTCTCATGATTTATCTCAGGTGGTTCTTGATTTGTTGTCCTTATTGTCATATTTGAACAACAAAAGTATGCAGTTGTAATTGGATTGAAACCACTGTCAGATTTAGTATAAGACTCAGTCCTGTGTTCTACAGACATATGTCATACTTGTGGGTTTAAATTATGAATCAGTATAGAAATTAAAATGCATAGAAGTTTGTAGCAACATAAGAACCTAATAAGGTACATTTACAATGATAGTCCATGTATTGAAATACGTTCTTTTACAGTTACACTATTATGGCCTCCTTGCGTCACAATTTTGTGTTTGCAAAGCATGATGTGAATTGAAGTAAACAGAATAAAGTAATTTTAAAGTTTCTGTTTTCATGAGTGTTGCAACTGTCCTCATGACGAAACATGCCGAGCTTAGTTTAGGGATAATGTATTGAATATGTGTTTTCCAGGGTAATTTGTTGTCAGTTTGTAGGCCAAGAAATTTAGTTTCTATTTCCTCCATTATTTTATCATCATACCTATATTTAGATTTATACAAGTTCTGTTGTTAGTACAAATTTTCATTAAATTTGTTTTGTCAAAATTTTATGTGGGTTTATTGGCTTTAATCCATTTGTTCAATTTAGCAAAGACATCATTTATGCAATTTTGAAAACAGTCAAGTTCTGGATGTGAAATAATAATAATAATATCATCAGCGAAGAGTATAGGTTTAGAATGAGAGTAGTTGGTTGTGGGGCAGATTATTGATATATACGAAAAAAGAAGAGGACAAAGTGTTGAACCTCGAAGCACTCCATGTTTTACAATGCCCCAATTTGAGTAAGTGCTATCATTTAAATTTGATGATTTTATTTCTACTTGTTGCTTTCTGTCTTGAAGGTATGATTTAAACCACTTTACAGCTAAATTACGATTGATGCTTCCATCATCAGGGTGATGAGTAAGTCGTATGTATGGAAATGATTAGATTTTTAGGAGACTGACAATCAAGGAGAAGCTTTGGACCTCTCTCTCTTTCCTTCTCTCTGTCTCTCTATGTCCTTCTCCCTCCTGTTGACCAGGCTGTGGCATGCCCCCCCCCCCCCCCCCCCCCCTAAAGTTCTCATGATTTATCTCAGGTGGTTCTTGATTTGTTGTCCTTATTGTCATATTTGAACAACAAAAGTATGCAGTTGTAATTGGATTGAAACCACTGTCAGATTTAGTATAAGACTCAGTCCTGTGTTCTACAGACATATGTCATACTTGTGGGTTTAAATTATGAATCAGTATAGAAATTAAAATGCATAGAAGTTTGTAGCAACATAAGAACCTAATAAGGTACATTTACAATGATAGTCCATGTATTGAAATACGTTCTTTTACAGTTACACTATTATGGCCTCCTTGCGTCACAATTTTGTGTTTGCAAAGCATGATGTGAATTGAAGTAAACAGAATAAAGTAATTTTAAAGTTTCTGTTTTCATGAGTGTTGCAACTGTCCTCATGACGAAACATGCCGAGCTTAGTTTAGGGATAATGTATTGAATATGTGTTTTCCAGGGTAATTTGTTGTCAGTTTGTAGGCCAAGAAATTTAGTTTCTATTTCCTCCATTATTTTATCATCATACCTATATTTAGATTTATACAAGTTCTGTTGTTAGTACAAATTTTCATTAAATTTGTTTTGTCAAAATTTTATGTGGGTTTATTGGCTTTAATCCATTTGTTCAATTTAGCAAAGACATCATTTATGCAATTTTGAAAACAGTCAAGTTCTGGATGTGAAATAATAATAATAATATCATCAGCGAAGAGTATAGGTTTAGAATGAGAGTAGTTGGTTGTGGGGCAGATTATTGATATATACGAAAAAAGAAGAGGACAAAGTGTTGAACCTCGAAGCACTCCATGTTTTACAATGCCCCAATTTGAGTAAGTGCTATCATTTAAATTTGATGATTTTATTTCTACTTGTTGCTTTCTGTCTTGAAGGTATGATTTAAACCACTTTACAGCTAAATTACGAAATTCCATAAAAATTTAGTTTTAATAGTAATAATTCATGATTTACACAATCGAATGCTCTAGCAGTTGCACATTTTGAAAATGATTTAGTCAATTTATGAAGTTTACAAAATTGTTACTAGATGGCAGTGCGATGAAAAATTCGCCACAACTCCCTCCATCTGATCGATTAGTAACGTCGCTTTGTATCGATATACGGAGGTGTGGAATACGCAAGCGTTAGTTATCGTTTGGAGTAGTGGGCCTTGTGGGAGTTGGAAAAAGATGGTGAGGTAGTGATGATGTTTGTGTGTGCTGTAGGACGAGGAACCTGTTGCTGGTTTGTGGGTTAGTGTGCAACAGTGAAATGTAATTTTATGTGCATTGTGTTGTTTGTGAAAACAATGGGCAGTTCACTTAGTACGAAAAGTGAATCTCCTCCACCGGAGGGTACTACCTTGAAGACGAACAATGTTCGCTCTAGCATCCGCACGAAACAGCCGATGCCCGATGCGATTGAACTGGAGAGAAGATTTGCCAAAGTTTTAGTAAGTGTCAATTAGGAACTACTTAAATTTAATAATTTCTCATACATTCACGTAGAAAAACTATTGACAGGAGCGCGTGGTTGTAGTCAAACACGTGAGGTTGTGCAAACGTGTCAGCTGGTTTAATTTTTAATCTTCTAAAGCAGCTAATAGTGTAGTGAATGTGGCTTGCTGCCTGATGGGGCTCAAGATCTGAAGGAAATTTATGAGTTAAGTCAGGTGTTTGAATTGAAAGTGCAAATTTCAGATTAGAATTACGTGCTATTATTGGTAGTGATCAGATTTAATGATAGGCAAACGTCCGACTACAGCTACATCAGTTGATTTTAGAATTTATCATTTCTTCTTTCACTTCTGACATTGGCCAACATGTGTAATATTGTTAAGACAATATGAAAAATATATACAGTATATCTCAGTGTTTGTACTGTTGTTAATTTTAATATAAAGTAAGTATACTTAGTTATGCTATAGAGCTGAGTCCTTCCTGAGAAGTCAACAGTCACTCTGAAGTTTCCAACATTTTGTGGAACCCGAAGGTCCATTACCGGGTTCACAAGTGCCTGTCATTGGCCCCTATTCTGAGCCAGATGAATCCAGTCCATGCCACCCCATCCTGTTTGTATTTGATCCATTTTTATTATCTTCTACCCATGCCTAGGTCTTCCTAGTGGTCTCTTTCCTTCTGGTTTGCCCACCAAAACCCTGCATGTATTTCTTTTCTCCTCCATACAGTCTACATGTCCTGTCCTCATCCTATGTGACTTTATCAGTGTAATTATATTTGGCGAGGGGTACAACTTATGAGGCACCTGATTATGCAACTTTCTCCAGCCTCCTGGTAATTTATCCCTCTTAGGTCCAAATTTCTCTTCAGCACCCTGTTCCCAAATGCCTTCCTTAGTGTCAGAGACCAAGTTTCATACCCATATAAAACTGTAGGCAAAATTATAACCTAATGTATTTACATATGTTATCATTATATTTTTGCTTCAATTTACACAGCTTTATTTTATGCCAGAAATCTCAGGAACCTAACCCCGGCACAAACCAAGTCCTACCTGTATTTAGAAATATATTGTTTTTCAAAGACTTTTACATGACACTTTGAACTTTCTTTTATGAAATCAAGTAGGCTATGTTTTTATCATCTTTTTTGGAAATTAGTACATTATAGCCGTACTGAGATTATTGTTAACTCAGTTGTATGGAGTAACACAGTCATTAACAGTTTTCAAGTGAACACCAGCTGCACCAAGTTTTATAATAACAGCTTCGCTTAATGTTGACATTATTATTCCATTTCTTCACCATTTTACAGGGTATTTACTTCTGTGTACTGAGACAAACCTTGCCCCTGAGGTACATAATGCAGCATCTATTTCTTAATTATTATTATCATGATTATCATCATCACCATCTTCTCCTCCTCCTCCTCCTCCTTCCCTCTGCAGCCCTCGGCAAAGATATGAATAGCGAATGTGGCCAATGGCAATGGACGGTTGTCATCCCCAGGCCTACATCCTGTCTTCAGATGTTGAGAAGGATGTGTAACTGCTTTTTTATGGATGTACAGTTAGTCTCTAAAGTGGGTTAAATTACTTAGACTATCCCTGAGATTTCATAGACGATTTCGTGATTTGTGGTCACATTAACCATTTGCTGAGCAAACTTACACTCTTTTATACTGCAGGTTTTTTAAGTTCCTGCAGTTCCCAAATTCACAAGGAACAGAGAATGAGTATAATTGTTATGAGGTTAGACATGACAACCCCCTGAGAGTGGGAAAATACTGTTTGTGTGTCAGTATTACATAACGTTTAGGAACTGCCACGGCATTGTGCAAAGGTAGGAAGACCTCTGTTAGTCTTCATTAGTGTGTTTTTTTCATTCATTCTTTCTGGTAAGCAAGGTTGATAGAGCTGAGAAGTTGGATTTCTTGTATAACGCTCTCCTCTGAGGGATAAACCCAGTCAGTGAAATGATAGGCCATGGGTTGGACGACCGAGGTTCGGTTCGTAGCAGGCGCAGAAATATTTATTTCTGCCACATCTATATTTGTGGCCCGCACATAAGGAGTACCATGGTTAACGTAGGCAGAGCGTGTGGCTCCAGCTAGTGCCAATACCGCATATTGCTTTTACTTCGATGTCCCCTGTACATCTTCATGTCGTGGTGCTTAGGCACAGGGGTACCTGTGTTCTGCGCATTCTTACACCGCGTTGCTTGGGAGAAGCAGGCCTATAAGCAATCTTGGGGTCCTCGGCCGTTTCTGTCCCGCAGCATCTGGGATACTCGTCTGCTACTTACAACGCTATGTTGCCAGATATATTAAGACTTCTTTTTTTCTTCGGTAATTTAACAGTATGCGGGCTTTTGTTGCTAATTCCGTTGGAATCATACAAGCTTGTTCGTCATCATGGAAGACGATCGCAGACCTGGATATAGCTGAAGGATCTCGAAGGAACGGGAGATTAATTTAATATGAGAGCTGTTGTTTACCTCGTAACTTACTAAGAACGAATCTGCGAAGTTTAATTTAAAGTACACTATATATTAGAAAGTATTGTAGTTTATAAATAGGCCTCGATGTGTCCGTACCGTCATTTGGGCTTAAGGATATTCCATGGTGAAAGGAGTAGTATGATTTTGTAAACATTAAAATTCTTCAGTGTAATGAACTGCAAGTTCTGATGTGACTCCTAAATCGGAACCAAGAAGATTATGAAGGGAAAAGAATTATCTGGTTATGTAAAGCTTGCATTGTCGGTCGATTTTCGTTTTACCCCATTGTCCATAAAAGTAAGGGGTTGATATTGCACATCATCTCGAGTTTTAATCGTGTTGAATGTATTCGAAATTAATGTGTAGTGCTGAAATACGAAAATCAACCGGGTCGTCGTTCTCCATTATGGTGACAGCCCCTGTCCTCCTGCTCTGCCATTACGCATTCATTAGTAGTACTATTAACTGCATCCGGAGCTGCTATTGCTTGTGGATGTGTTTTGGAAGGGCGGGGTTGTAATTTATTTAACGACACTCGTCCACACGTGTAGGAACAGTAATAGGCTTTCAGTCGTATAAATCTAGACACGTTCTGGTATTGTCCGTCCGATATGATTCCGAAACAATGGCAAAAAAATGTTTTTGTGGCACTGAATACCCAGTGGGTCTAATTTAGCGCATCTGCCCCGCATTCCATCTGAAGTTAGCTTCCGTAATCCTTGAAATACGAATAGCGAAATATCTCGTTTAATAATACTATTCTTTTCAACTTTTGAGTGTGCGTTATTTATCAGTTTCGTTGGAATATAGCATTTCGTACCAGGTTTTATAGTGTATTAGGTCTGCTGAATATATGTGGTATTTCGACAGTGAAATTTGCCAGTTGCTGTGGAAATATATAAACCATAGAGTCGCGTGACTTTTCAGTAATCCTTTGTAGCCCTAGTTGTGGTGCTTTACTTTTCGCTCAGACCACTATTTGGGTCGACTTCTAATGTAAATGTGGTGAGACAGAACATTCAACTTGACAACTGCCACTTATGTTTAAATAATGTTCTAGCAGATCTTCAGTGAAGTGCAGAATAGCAGCCTCTTTGTATAGCCTGTCTGATTAGATGTAAATGAGCTTCGTATTATGTTGCTGACTTTTATGTTGTGAAATATGAAGAGCTTCCACAAGAAATAGGCCTTCTCCCGTTTTCTCTATATTTCCTGACGTTTGTGGTGGTTAGGTTAGCATTTTGACGGGTCTCTCTTTCTCAGGAATTGCTTGCGTTATGTGGTGTTTGAGTTAAATGTTTCCGGGGGAACAAGACGAGTTGCAGTACTTATTTCATTTCATTGTTGGATGCTGTTAGTTTCCCCATATGACTTGCTGAGAAACGCACTAGAAATGTCGCGTTGTGCCAGACAAGATGCTCAGATGCCGTTATTTTCTCCAGAATTCTTGACATGATCGTAAACGTGCTGTTTAAAAATAAACATCATATCTCTCACGACATGTAAAACACACTGATGACGTTTCATTCATGACGAGGTAACTACTATTAATTGATTCTTTGGTAGTTAGTTTTATCTTCATACGTTATATAGCGTCGAATGAAACGGTAAGATAATTGTTAACGATAAGTAAATGTCGTGACCTGTTTCAGTATGCTGTTATTCGTCTGATGAAAGCTTAAAGAAGTCCCAGAAAAGATAATAACCCGCCCAGAATTCGAACCGTTTACCTCTCGAGTAAGTCTGGAGCGTTACAGTCGGTGATTGTTCTTATTTCTTGACTTCTGAACGACGTTATGGCAGAAGTTTACGAACGTTTCAGAGGTCCTTGTTACCTCCATCAGAGCGATGATGATGGTGGTGATGGAGGCAGTATGACCCCTGAAACGTTCGTAAACTTCTGCCAGACTACACGGCGCAACAACCCAGAAGACAGCCATCTTCAGACTCGCCGCCATGAAAACCTCAAATCCTACTAAAAGAAAGATGTGACAACGTTCATATGAATTCTCGTACAGTACGATAAGAAATGACAAACCAGATTTTGTGTGAGAGCTAGTGTATGGTACGAAGACAGACTTTTTGTGTTCAAAACTTTACCGTGTTGAAAAGGAATAGCGTTTTTGCTGTGAATGTTTAGAGAAGTTCCGCCCGAAGAGAAAACAGAACTGAGTCCCAGAAGGAAAGGGGCAAAAAAGAGGTCTGTGTATGTCTCAGTTTCCGCTGTAGCTTCAGACACAATAAGTACCCTGCCTCTACGTTAGATGGTTCGTATCTTGCGACACTGCCTAATCTTTCGTTGATGCAGTGTTGGTTTTCGTACTGGTCAAAATGTTCTTTGCTGGTGCTTCAGACCACCGGAATTGACCGCTCTGGTATAAATAGCAGGCGCATAAATTAAAATAAGTTGCCAGAACTTGCATAAATGTTATTAAAAATAACTTGGTAACAATTAAAATGCATACAAAATTTTAGTCAGATAACCTGAAGGGAGG